AGTATATATATATATATATATCTTCCACAGTCAACACCAGTGAAACACCTCCAACACCAGAATATTTTAAGTTAAATTTCTTAAAATGACTCAATAAAAATCCCAGACTTCAATCCAACTTACAATCTTTGAACCCAAACAGCTCCATTTATCTTAAAGGAGCTAGAGCACTTGAAAAAATGGACTAGATGTCCAGTGTTTAGTTGCTTAGTGTACGAAAAGAGAGCAACTTCACACAAATGTAACTCTACAATGACATGGTGTGAATAATGATCAAAGAGGGCTTAAGAAAAATATATTCAAATACATGATAACTATACAAGCTGTTTTTTGAACAGTGGACAGCAGTGGGTGTTACACATGAAGTTTTCCACACTTTACTTTAGTAGAGAAATGTGAGAAACCGATGGACCATACAGAGAGACCCAAAGGTGGAATCTAGATGCAAGGAGCCATCCTCCTGCTTTTGTTGAAGCTCACACCTATGTGGCCCAAACTACAGCGATGAACAAAGTCAACCCTTCAACTGATGATGTCATCAGTCAGGACCTGACCCCATTTTAATGGAAGCTAAACTGTTGGAAATATAAACTCACTTATTCTAAAGCACCCTGGATGTGAATGTCAGTGTATTCCTATGTGGGTCTACTGGTACTGGCTGGACCCACAACCATGAATCCTCTACCACAAAGCTGGGTTTCTCTTGTGAGAGGTGAAGCTGTAAATCCTGGGATCCAACAGCTTCAAACAGTGAGAGACAAACACCAAAAATAAGAGGCTGAAGCATTCAAAAATGCCTTTCTATTTGTCTGTAAGTTTATATTTTTTGCATAATCATGCAACGGGAAATTATATAAATCACAAGCTCATAGAGGTCGAAGTTGTTCCTGTGGAAGTTTGGCTGCAGAATATAGTCCTTTGTGACACTTGCAATTATTCAAGTCAAGTTTGAATTAGATGAGGTTGTATGAAACAAAACCACATAAGCAGAGTTAAACTAGTCTTAGAGTACTGCCCTTTCTGTTGTCCATCTCAAAACCTCAGAGCAGGTGAAGGAAGGTGGCTTGGAATTCCCTACAGCTGGGTCCTCGAGTACTTTGTACTTGTCTTAGTAAAAAAAAAACTCTCCAACTACATATCCATTATTTAAATTGTCTCCACATTAACATTTGTGTTAACTTTTTCTTTCACTCTCTATATTACAACCCATCCATCAGTCTGAGGGAGCACTAAGAGTACTTAGATTTGTACATTAGTAAAACATTATGGTTGTTCCCAYAAGGGCTCTGGCCTTTCAAGGCCTCTAACCAACAGCTGACAGCAGTGATTACCCTAAATACTTTCTAGCTGGTACTATGTCAACAACATCACACCAGAACCCAGTTTTGGTGAGGTAAACAAAAAACTCTCATATGAACATTTTTCATGCCTAGTTTGGTCACAGCTGTGCAAACCAGATCTGTGTTTGTGAGCAGGGAGAAAACAAAGCATGTAGTGAATATTATCTTGTATTGAGTCACTAAATGAGAAAACAAATATGTAGGCACCAGCTTCCCCACAACTCTGAAAGAAAAAGTCGGCGAATACAGTAAAATAAATGCATGCATGGATGTACTGTACTGTATGTATGTATGTATGTATGTATGTATGTATGTATGTATGTATGTATGTATGTATGGATGGATGGACGGACGGACGGACGGATGGATGGATGGATGTTACCACTTTACTGAACTGCCAACACTACCAAAGCAAATGTTACAGAATAAACAGTAAATCAAGTACACATTTAAAAAATGTGATGAATTATAATAGCTTTGAGAGACCAAAACTTGTGTAAAGAGTACAAAGCCTGATCGCCAGTTGTCCCTTACTGGATTCCAAGTTTATTTTACGAACTTCTATTAAGCACTAACAAGTATAAATATATAAACTTAGCACAAAAAGAAAGAAAATATGTGTTTGGTAGATTATTTCTTTATTGTAACAATGATTCTTTGTAATAAATCTGATAGCACTGGAAACCCTGATAGATTCCCTTTTAAGTGGCGCCATGTTTGCCATTGACTCACTTGATGTTTGGTGGACTAGATGATTGAAGTTTGAAGAATGCTGACAGTTAAACATTTTTTTCCATCATTTTTTTTTTCAATTAAAGCATCAGTGGAGTGTGGTGGGTACCAGAAGCTAAAACATTTCAGTAGCAACAACAAAATACAGTAAGCTGTATAGGATTGACAGAGAGGACCTGGCAAATCTTTCATGTGTGGAATCCACTCAGGTCTACTGCTCATCCCACAAATGCATGTTCCTTACAAATATGGCACCACTTAAAAGGGATATTAAAGGGGCAATATTATGTGTTTCTCAGGCATATATTTAAATACTATACCATAATAAAGTATCTATGTCACCTTTAGCTGTTATTAAAATGCTGTTTTATGTTTAAATAGAAAATAAACTTAACTTCTCATCACTTCCTCTTCTAAATGCCTTGAAATTGGCCTCTGTTTCTTTAAGAACCACCTTCCACTTCTGTCCCGCCCATTTCAGTGCTGGGGGGCGGGGGCGGGGGGAGGGGTTGTGATGCAGTTTACTTGGCATCTGAAAATACATMTCCTCAAAGGTATTTTGAATCTGAAAAGGGCTTCACTGAGTGAGAAGTAGTGTTAAGAGCTCAGCAGACAGTTTCAGTTTCACTTTCAGTTTCACCAGTTGTTTGCTTCGTTGCTGCTGAGCGTCTGCAGGAGTCATGGGTGGGGTGCAAGGGGTGGGGAGGTGTGCTCCGTGATGAGGAAGCTCGGCTTGGAGACACAGCCCAGAGGCGGAGATGGTCCAAAAAGGCGTTTCTAGTCCCAGCCTGTCATTTTTGCTCCTCTGCCTGGCTGCCTCAGGACACTACAGGATTTCTCAAACATGCAAGAATGAGTCAAAGTAGGACTTTGGGCATGGTTTTGATGAGAGTATAACATTATAACATGATATAAAACTCAAAAAAGTTGATTTTACATGATATAGCCCCTTTAACAGACTTTCCAATAGTGTAATATTTACCAACAAGAAGCATTGTTACAACAAAGAAAAAGTTTACCAAACACAAATTTCCTTACTTTTTGTGCTAATTTTATATATGTATACACACAATAAACACAATATACCAAGATTCTCTACTTCTTCCCTCCTGTTTTAGTTAATATTCATGGTTGCATTACAGTGCCAGATATAGGCCAGACATTGTTACTACAACATTTTGGGTCATTTTCTGTGTGTAAATGAAAATACTTCTAGAAGTTGTGCCATTTGTACAATGTTTTTTATTAGAAATGCTATGAAAAAAGACCAGTTTGAACATGTGAGCAAGGGCTGAACTGTTCTCTCATTCCTTCACTAACTATAAAAGTATTTACTTGGATGGACTCAATGGGGGACA